TCCAAAGATGTGTGTGTCCTAATTCCTGGAGCCTGTGGATGCAGAGACTTTGTGGATGTGATTAAGGGTCTTGAGATGGAGAGATGATCCTGGCTTACCCAGGGGGAGGGGGCTGATAAAAGCACAGGGGTCCCTATGAGAGAGAGGCAGGAGGGTCAGAGTCAGTAGTCAGAGATGTGAGGATGGAAGCCGGAAGTTGGAGTTACAGGAAGAAGAAGTCGTAAGTCAAGGAGTGCAGGTGGTCCCCAGAAGCTGTAAAAGACAAAGAAATGGATTTTCCCCTGGAGCCTCTGGAAGGAAGCAGCACTGCCAACACCTTGACTTTAGCCCAATGAGACCAGTTCTGGACTTCTGACTTCTGGAACTGGAAGATAATAAATCAGTGTTGTCTGCGATCACTAAATTTGTGGTTATATATTAGAGCAGCAATAGGAAATGAATACAGCAGGGCAATTCGACTGAGAATCAAGAGAAAAAAAAAATGAGACAGTAAAAGTAGACCCACATCTGCTCTGGATGTTAAGGTTTTAAAATAACTATTTAAATATGTTAAAGAAGGGGCAGCGCCTGGGTGGTTGCGTCTGTTAAGCATCCAACTCTTGATTTCAACTCGGGTTGTGATCTCGTGGTCGTGGGATTGAGCCCCGAGTTGTGTTCCACACTCAGCAGGGAGCCTGCTTGAGAGTCTCTCTCTCCCTCTGCCCCTCCCCCCCATAAAATGAATAAATAAAATCTTTTAGAAAAGTAAATATGTTCAAGAAAATAGTGGGAGCAGTGGACAAAATGGTGACAAAGTGGGGAATTTCGATAGAGAATTGGAATATGTGAAAACCAAATGAACATTCTAGAATTGACAGATACAATATCTGAAATAAAGAATTCAGATGGGCTGAGCAGCAGAGTGGACACAGCAGAGGCAAGAGATTAGTGAACTTGAAGACAGGCCAGTGGAGAACATCCAAACTAAAGTTCAGAAAGATAAAAGAATAGAAAGAACAATGTTAACTGCAAAGTTCTTGTTTAATGGCTTCCCAGAATACAGTATTTAGCCAAGAAGATCATTCCTTTTAATCTTAGAATAGTTGTAGAACATAAAAGGGAATTTGTGTATTTAAACTATAAATAAACTCACTTTATAAATCCTATCGTAGATGCTCCTATTAGACTCCTGGATCTAGTTTTCTCTCATGGATTATAAATAACATAAAGTAAAGCTTCTAGCAGGTTTGAATCTAAAAGCCGCCTCATTTGACAACTCTGAATTTGTTTTCACATTTGAAAAATGGAGGTGGTAGTACATGTCTCACAGTTTTAGGATGAGGATTAAGTGACATAAGGCCCTTAGCATAATGCCTGGCACAGAGTGAATGTCTGTTTTTATTAAGTTTTTCTCAGGCGGGTACATCTGCCTTGTCAGAAGACTCATCAGGGGAGTATGAGGCAGTGAACTTCCATCACATGAAATGAGGTTAAATGAGATAATGGGTGTAAAGTTTTCCATAAAGTCCTTACAAATGTGGCTTTTCCTATTATGGCATGAGTCTCAGTTTACCAACTCAGGTGTGCAATAAATAGCATTTTCTTTATTTTTAGATAATTTTATGTTTTGGGCTCCCAGTTGGCTAGAGTGATGGCACATTAATCTCAGGAATTTGGGGTCTTCTTCCCTTTCTGCTAAATGGTGTCAAATTTCTAGGGGCTCACATGGCGTCAACGTGTCAAGGGGTGGGTGGTCCTGATCATCCTTCCCCATAGTCACAAAGCAGTATCCTGTTCCTGTACAGGTGTCTTCTTCCCATCAGGGGACTCTCTCCCCAACTTCCATTCCCGGTTTAGGGGCCATGGGAATCTTTCTGCTGTAACTGTGCCAACCAAGGGCATGCAAACCAAGCCCAAAGGTATGCAGTAGGTAAGGGATCCAAGGATCTAACTGCTCTCAAGCTGCTTGCACCCAATCCTCATTATTTTAGACTTTCCTTCACTCCTAATTCCAGAGATACCGGGATCTTGGAGAGGCTGCCTGGGGCATGGCTGGTCCAGACATTTAGACAGGAGTGCCCTTTCTGCAATCACATTCCAGGGGGTGCTGGCCAGGAAGCAGGGTCCCACGCCTTTCTTTCCTGAACCCACCACATCACTGTTCTCACAAATCAATTCCTCATTTATCTCTTTCCCCTTCTTCAGGGGCTTTTATCTGGGCTCCGTAGAGAACCCTGTCTTCTTAATAGGTGTAGGCCTCTGGAAACTATTGTTTTCAGACTATAGTAGTCCCCCTTTATCTGCAGGGGGTACTTCCAAGATACCCTCCCCCCCCCGCACAGGATGCCTGAAACCACAGATAGTACCGAACCAATATGCTGTTTCTTCCCTATACATACATACCTATGATAAAGTTTCATTTACAAATTAAGAGATTAACAGTAACTAATAATAGAACAATTCTAACAGTTTCCTGTAATGAAAGTTATGTGAATGTGGCCTCCCTCTCAAACTACCTTATTGTTTTATACTCACCATTTTTTCCTTTGATTTATTGATTTATTTATTTATTTGAGACTGAGAGAGAGAGAGAGAGTACAGGAGGGGGGGGGAGAGGGAGAGGGAGAGAGAACCTTAAGCAGACTCCATGCTGATCACAGAGCCCGATCCCAGGACCTTGAGATCACAACCTGAGTCAAAACCAAGAGTTGGACGCTTAACTGACTCCACCACCAGGCACCCCTCTGTGCTCACCCTTCTTATGAGGATGGGAGATGACAGAATGCCTATGTGATGGACAAAGTGAGGTGAATGACGTAGGACTGTGATGTAGCGTTAGGCTACTACTGACCTTCTGACGATATGTCAGAAGGAAGAGTCATCCGCTTCTGAACCACAGCGACCATGGATAATGAAAGCACAGTTGAGAGGGGGACTGCTGTATTGTTTTCTGCTTTCATTACTGCTTCATCTCTCATCTGAGCCAACAAACACAGAACTGTCTTAAATTGATGAAGAAGGGTGGAGGGAGGATACTACAAGAAAATAAAAATCTAGGGGCACTTGGGTGGCTCCGTCAGTTAATCGTCTGCCTTCAGCTCAGGTCAGGATCTCAGGGTCCTGAGATCGAGCCCCGAGTCAGGCTCCCCGCTCAGCGGGGAGTCTGCTTCTCCCTCTGCCTCTCCTCCAACTCGTGCCTGTGCGCTCTCTCTCTCAAATAAGTAAATGTAATCTTTTTTAAAAAAGAAAAAGAAAATAAAAATCTAGCATTTGAGGGTTCCAGTGATGGTGTAATCTTGGTACCAGATTAGCTTTCCTGCCATAAACAACAGTAAAACTGGACAAAAGATATGAGCCACCACTCTCAGGCACTGGACAACAGGCAGTGCGTGATGGTGATCTCTGAGAGAAGGGGAACTCAGGAGATAGTCCCCAGATCGTTTTGGCTCTCTGCTGGGGAACAGTTTTCCAACCACAGCATAGCAAGCTGGAGTCCTAGCAGAGTAGGGACGCCCTGCTGTGGTTCGGAGGCAGAGAGCAGAGTCCACAGTTGCTGAAGCGGACACAATCTATAGGTCATGGCACTGGAAAGGATGTTGGTCCACATGTGGGAGGCAAAAATCTATGTGGCAGGTCCCCTGTGTCATTGCCTGAGAGCTGGGATGCACATGTGTTGGGGAAGACTGCCTGAGGCTTCCCAGAGAGAAGCTGCTACAGAGTTGAGAACAGAACAGATACTAGAGGTCTAGCAGATAACGGAATCTAGAGCATCTACAGTGTATCATTCACAGTGTCCATGAAGCAATCTAAAATTCCTACACATGCAGGAAAACAGGAAAATGTCACCCAAACTAACAACAACGACAAACAGTCAATAGAAACTGACCTCAAGATGGTCCAGATGTTGGATTCAGCAAAGACTTTAAGGAAAATGTTATAAATGAGTTCAAAAATGTAAAAGAAAATATGTCCAAAGAATTAAATGAAAATATGGTCATAATGAGTGTGTTAATGGGAAACCAAGCCCATTAGGTATGCAGTAGGTAAGGGATCCAAGGATCTAACTGCTCTCAAGCTGCTTGCACCCAATCCTCATTATTTTAGACTTTCCTTCACTCCTAATTCCAGAGATACCTGGTTCTTCTGACGGCTGTTCCTTTTTTAGGATTCTGCGGTATAAACTGAATTGGTTTTCACCTTATCCCACTACTGGCTCAGGAATGGTCCCTTCTTAGATCAGCTAAGACAATCACCATTCCTCTTCTATTGTGTAGCCTCCAAAATTGTATTACTGTTGTCTCCTCATCCTTGTAGATATATTGTTTTTTTTTAAATCAGTTTACTGTGGTTTTAATAAGGGTTTTAGAGGGAATGAATGTAGACGTACATGTTTAACCCACAGTTACAGCCCAGAACTCCTGTACTAAGTCTTAAAAGTGATTGCAAAAACATAACTTTTCCTGGAAACTGTTCTCATCCAATATGTGAACAGCCTTCTGTTTGCCTCCCCCTTACTAAAAGGCCTCAAATGAGATTCCTCAATTTGTCTTTCTCCTTGTGTTCTCAAGGGCCACAAAGCCTCTAACATAACTTATAGTTATGCCACTTCCAAGCCCATTACTTGGAAATGACAAATCAGGAAGAGAGAGACACTCATTTTCTTCTAAGGAAGGAGCCTCCTCAAGGGACTTGGGCTCACCACAATTTTGCAAATGCATACCTTCTTGGACATGTCTGGCTTTTGATGACAGTAAATATTAAATTGTGCTTCAAATATAAAACCTCTACTGCATCTAACTCAAGCTAACAACATTAAATGATTACCTAGTTTTAAAAATCTAAAAGGCTTTTTCTTCCCTTAAACAAGTCCTGTCAGGCTCAGCTCTGCATTAATTATTCTCGATTCTAGTGAGCACTTCACTCTTTTCTGCCATCGGGCGGGGGGCGGGGGGGGAAGCACCTTCGTTGTACAAAGACTAATGGAGACAACTCCTTTTTGCCTATTATAATTCTCCACGCAGTTGGTAGCACCAGATGTGCCTCCAGCCTGTCGTGTGTGGTCTGTGATTAGGACATCGATCTGGTTGAAGCTTTCTTCTCTTTTGGACTTGGCCGTCCCCTGAATGGGGAGGGGGCTGTGGTACAGTTTGGCCAATGGCATGCATCAGGGGTGCAGGTACAACACTCCTTCTAAAAACCAAACTACGATTCCTACCTACTGTCCAAGTTCGTTAGTATTAATTTTACCTATTTCAGCTGGTCATATTATCTTCATCCCTTGGGCCCAAGTAGACCCTGCACCTTCATTTCCAACTCCAACATACCAGAAACCTTATAATTGCCTTACAGATTTTGCACCCCCCTCTGTTTGCCTTCACACAAGCTTTCTGCCCTCTTTTTTGTTAACAGAATCTTGATTTCGTGCAAGCGTCTGTGCATATCCCTCCTCTTCTAGAAACTGACACTGTCCCCAGCTCAGGGGCAAATCTTGATTAATTGGGTACCCTTTCCCTAGATGGGATTTTTCCAGTATGGATAGAGTTCTTCCAGTGACACATGTGGCCACATCTCCTGGAGAGACTCCTGAGAAAGGTTTCCTCATTCCCAAAAACAGACCCCTAGGAAGAGCCATTCTCTTTCGCTGATCATTGTCAGATCTGAGCGTGGCACCCAGAGCTACAGCAACCTTCTTGTGATGGGGACAGAATCTAGCCTGGGGAGGGTAGAGGAGAAAGACGGAAAGACTTTGGGTCCTCCGTGACATCCCCAATTATACCAATCATGGAGCTGCCCCACTTGAGGAAATCTTGTTAGATAAATAAAATGCTCTTAATTTTTAAAGCCAAATTGAAGTTGAGTATATTACATTTTTTCTGTTTGGCACTTCAGGTCCGCTGTCCACTCGTCTCTGGATCAGGAAGCCGGAGTAGATCAAAGGGTAAGAATAGAGAGCCGTTCCCATAACTACTCCTTCTCTTTGCCCTCTCAAGTACGAGGGCAGCTTCTCTCGGTTACTAGTTACACCCCTTGCTTTCCTGAACCCAGCCCATACTTTGTAATCCCTTCATTAACCTCTCCGAAATGTCCCCTTTTCAACATGCCATCTCTTTCCGGCTGAGACCCTGACTGAAATATCGGGTTTTCAACGGATGCAGTTACTGTCCATCTGACCGAACTACAATGGCCTCAAAGACGTTTTACTGCCTTTTACATAGATGGATCTGTTCACTGGTTTCAGTTCATGAGGTAGGGTAGTGTTCCCCTTTGATGTCTCACGTCTGCGCAGGTGATGGGCTGACTACTTTCAACACACATACCCTTCTAATAAATCTACCCATGTTTTTATTGACTGCAGGTGACTTTGGGATTGTACATATTTATGGCCAAGGAAAACAACGAAGAGAAATAAATCTCCAAATGTCATTAGATTAAGGACTTTTTATGCCTTACAAACTGTCTTCCAAAGAAGCCTTGCAAGATGCTCCAGCTGAAAATGCTTTGGCAGCTGCAACCATTTCTCTCCTCAGGCCACCGCTTTGTTTTCCTCACCCACCAGCCAGCCTCCTTTGACAACTTTCTTGAAAGTTGCTCTGCTCCAAAACCAGGCCCCACGTTCCGGGGCGGCGGGGGGGGGGGGGGGGGACAGCTGAGAGGCTGGAGAGTCTTCACCCAGATGACCTTAGGTAATACCCCAGATGGCCACTTGATGGCGCCCGAGAATCTTCTCCACTTTCCTCACATGCTCCAGGAACTGCTCACGTGAATAAAGCAGGTATGATAAAGAAGTCGGATGAAAGCTATTGATGCGTTCTGAATGTTCCATTGTGGGTCATAGTACTGTCGTGCCTGCCATTTTTATGTCTGTTTGTTTGTTTGTTTGTTTATTTATTTATTTAGAGGGAGAGACAGAACAGGAGCACAGGGGAGGGAAGGCGAGGGGAGGGGCAGAGGGAGAGGGAGAGGGAAAAGCAGATTCTCCGCTGAGCAGGGAGCCTGTAGTGGGGCTCCATCCCAGGACCCTGGGATCATGACCTGGGCCGAAGGTAGACGCTTAACCGACTGAGCCACCCAGGGCTCCATGCCTGCCATTTTTAAAGCATGCAATGGAAGGGCACAATCCACAGCAAGATTATTCTGTTTAATTTCATCCAGATGAAGAGCTACTGATCACATAAACAGAAATGTATGTTCATAGGATATATAGAAATATCACCATATGCAAAATGTAATATACTATTGTCATCAAAGAGCTGTGGAAAGGTTTCACAGTCAGATCTGAAATACCCCTGTCTTTAAGATAAGGAGACACACACTTTATAGATTATACTGAAAAGGAAGTCTGTGAAGCCTCTCAGAAACAGCATGAAATTCACTGTAGACTTTCAGCAAGGGGGGTGAAGTGGCAAAATAGGATTTTGAAAATTAAATTGTCCAAGATATGGGCAGATACCTGAATCAAACAGCCCAGATCTTGCCCTTAGTTCTTGCAAGCACAAGATGCGTAGCTATGAAAGAGACAAGAATTTCTCATCTTGAAATATTAATGGGTTGACTCATGAAACTTTCTTCTATACTCTCAGGGACACCCACTTAAAAAGCATCATATACTAAATGCCATCTTACTAAAGTAGTGCAAAGCATTAAAAAAAAAAAAAGTATGTCAAGCTCTTCCATACCTAAGTGTCCTACCATAGCAAACGCTGTTGGTGCTTCACCTATATCCCTTTCAATCCCTCTGATTCTGATTCCAATTCCAACAGGTATTGTTTTTTCCCACACCAAGTAATTGTCTGCGTCACCATCTATCCAATTCCACTCAGTTCTGACACGATCTACCTGGAGATAACATCGGATCCCACGGGTTAAGGCAAAGTCCTACAAGACGGTCCCTCTCTTCAGATGCCAAACATAAGTCTAGGTTGTGACCTGGGCTTCTGACCAAACGCTATAGATTGGAGGTTCCCATGGCCCCCTCCTTGGGCTCAATTAATTTTCTAAAGCAGCTCACAGAAAAAGAAACACTGAACTCACTAGATTACCAATTTATTATAAAAGGATGTGACTCAGCAACGGCCAAATGGAAGAGATGCACAGGACAAGGGATGGGGAAGGGGTGCGGAGCTTCCATGTCTTCTCCAAGCATCAGTCTCCCCAAATCTACACTTGTTCACCAACCCGGAAGCTCTCCAAACCCCATCCTTCTGTTTTTTTATGGAGGATTCATTACATAGGCATGACTAATAAAATCATTAGCCACTGGCAAATGATTAACCTCCAGCTCCTCTCCCCCCTCCCTGGAGGTCAGGGGGTAGGATCGGAAGTTCCAATGCTCTGATCACAAAATTGGCTCCGCTGGCAAGACCTTCGCCTTAGGAAGACCTAAGGGCATCCCAGGTCATCTCATTCAACCAACTTTAAAAGACACCTTTATGACTCTCATCACTTAGACAATTCCAAGGATTTTAGGAGCTCTGTGCCAGGATCAGGGACAAAGACCAAATATACATTTCTTATTATAAATCACAATATCACAATCCCTTTCACCATTTCTGTTTTGCGATCCTCCAGCCCCTGTGCCATTCATTTCCAGCAGCTTCTCCCCGTAATTGTTTGAGGGTCCCCCCCTGGCCTACGGGGGCTGCTTTGCACACCAGCACACAAAGCTTGCCAGGATGCCTGGGAGTTAATGTGCCCCTCCTCTGAGTCTGTGGCTACTGAGCTGTGCGGGGGCCTGAGGAGAGACACACTCCAAGGTATGGTTTACCCTTCAGAACTCCCCTCTGTATCTCTTGGCGCTTGGCCAACATCACACTCTTGCTGGCTTCTTATCTTTCCTATATGTCTCTCCCCCATTCCTTCCCTTGTTTCTCCCTGGAGCACTTCTTTAATAAATCATTTGCACATGACTTCTGTCTCAGTATTTGCTTTTGGGAACCCAACCTAAGAAACCAACATCCCTATAAACCATGGGGCCATGGAGAGATAGCCTTACGTTGGGATACACATCAAAGTCCACCAGAAAAAAACAAAAACAAAACCAACAAAAACCCTTACTGAAACATTGCAGAAAGTCTTTGGCCTGGAATCCATTCCTGCAAAGAGAATTCGGCTTCAGAGAGGCAGAGTGATAATGCCTACCGCTTTGCTCTTGACAAGCAGACAGAAGCTGCCAGTGAAATGCCCACCAGAGTCCTCTGTGCTTCAAGAGGAGCAGTCACAGGGCCTCTTGGTAGGGACTCTGTTCTTCCTGACTGCTATGGACCGATCCTGGGGGGGGCGCCTGGGGGGCTCCGTTGGTTGACCATCTGCCTTTGGCTCAGGTCGTGACCCCAGGGTTCCTGCTCGAGCTCTCTGTTGCTATTTCTCTCTCTGTCTCAAATAAATAAATTAAATCTTAAAAAAAAAAAAAAGGAAAAAAAGGAATGATCCTGGGTCTCTCTTTTAATTTCCTACTCAGTTGAAGATTTGCAACCCCAAGACAAAGATATTTGCCAAACAAGTTTTTAAAACCCAGTGTCTCGAGAACTATTGGCTACACACTGGCTACAACTATAATTTTCTCACTCATCATTTCTGTCCATGCCCGTGTCCAGAACACTATGCCCAATAACTGTGGAATACGCTTTTTGTTTAAGAACACACGGAACTTTCCCCAAGATAAGCCATATGCTAGACCGTGAAATAAATAAATACACAAACACATAAATAAATAAATAAATAATGAAGGATGGATATCTTATAGAGTCTGTCCTCTGATAACAATGGAATTATATTATAAATGTTAAAAAAATTTTTAACCAAGGAAATTTGATGATCTAAGGGGTTTTATTAAAGGATTCATGAATCGGGCAGCATTCCATCTAGCAAGTAGAACAGAGCTCCAAAGGGCCACAGAAAAGGGAGGGTTTTTAAAGGTAGAGTGGGAGTGGAAAAAAGGAAATTATAGCAAAGAATTCATTCTTCTAGGCCAGGTTACCCTCTTAAGGGGAACAGAAGGAGCCTATCAGTATATTTCCTAATGCTGATCAGGAAATCGCCACGTCCACTGGTAAAAGGTTACATTTCTGGGGGGGTTGAAACTGCAATTAGGTTAGGTGTTAGGTCCTAGTTTACTGACTTAGGGCCTTAAGCGAAGTGATATAATTCTGGGTCTGTGGTTTTCTTTTGAAGAGAAATAATAAAAAGGAAACTAGAAAAGCCTCCACTATTTGGAAATTAAGCAACACACTACTAAAAACCTCACGAGTCAAAGAAAAAATCCACAAGGAAAATTTTATAATATCTTAGGGGTGCCTGGGTGGCTCAGTCAGTTGAGTGTCTGACTTTTGGTTTCAGCTCAGGTCATGCTCTCAGGGTCCTGGGATCGAGTCCGGCATCGGGTTCCTCACTCAGTGGGGAGTCCGCCTGGGATTCTCTCACTCCCTCTCCCTCTGCCCCTCCCCACCTCTAAAACAAACAAACAAACAAACAAACAAACAAACAAACAAATAAAATCTTCAATAAATAAAAATACCTTAAACTAAAGAGAATGAAAATACAACATATCAAAATATGTGGGATGCAGATAAAGCTGTGCTTAGAGGAAATTTATGGCTTTAAGTGCTTATATTACAGAACAAAAGTTTTGAATCAGTGATCTAATGGTCCACCTTAAGGAGCGAGAGAAAGAACAACTTAAGTCGAAAGTAACAGGAAGAAAGGAGATAATAAAGACAAGAGTAGAAATCCGTGAAATAGAAAACCAGCAAAAATAGAGAAAACCAAAAGTTGGGTCTTGGAAAAGATGAATGAAATTGGTAAACCCAATAAAGACTTAGCAAAAAAGAGAGAGACAGAAAATAAAAGGGAGACCAGGATACAAAAAAATAGACACTCAGATCAACGGAACAGAATAGAGAGCCCAGAAATAAACCCACAATTATATGGTCAATTAACCTACAACAACAGAGGCCAAGAATTCCAAGGGGAAAAGACAAGCTCAACAAATGGTGCTGGGAAAACTGGACAGCTCCATGCGGAAGAAGGAGACTAGACCACTTTCTTTCACCAGACACAAAAATAAACTCAAAATGGTTTAAAGACCTAATGTGAGACCTGAAACCATAAAACTCCTGGAAGAAAACAGGCAGTAATTCCTTTGACATCGCCCATCGCAACACGTCTCCAGATATGTCTCCTTGGGCAAAAAAAAAAAAAAAAAATAATAATAATAAAATAAAATAAAATAAACTGTTAGAACTGCACCAACACAATAAGCTTTTGCACAGTGCACGAAATCATCAACAAAATAAGGCAGTCTGTCAAATGGGAGAAGATATTTGCAAACAATATATCCAATAAGAGGTTAATATTCAAAATATATAAAGAACTTATACAACTTGGGGTGCCTCGGTGGCACAGTTGGTTATGGGTCCAAATCAGGTTGTAAGATG